AGTCAAACCCTATAAGACTCGAAATTTCATTGATTTGGGAATCGCACTGGACCCTTCTATTGCCGAATTGCGGAATATCACGGGCTATATGTCATGCTGAGAATATAAATTCCAAATTCCAACAAACAAACTTGGACACAAATGATCTCCGAAAAGCAAATCTACATACCCGAGAGTCGTTTCAATCCCGAGTGCGATCGCAAGCCGAAGCACAACGGTGGAAAGTCCGGTTCCAGTGGTTTCGTTGTGTCTGCAACAGCAGGCCTTAGATGGAATCTGCTGAGGACGATGACTGCGATGGATACGTAGGTGGTGGTCTTCAAAACAATACAAAATCCTTTTGGGAATGTTCGGGAAGCTTCCAGTTCTTGTTAAACGAAGGGTGTGTAATACGACATTTTTATTTTTTTATTTTTTTTATTTTTTTATTTTTTTCTGATAGCAAGCTAAATCCTAAATTACTAAGAAACCCATTTTTCTTTTTTAAATTTTAAAAAACAAATTTTCTTGTACACTGTTTGGCTTGTGTTTATTTGATCTGAATTCCCCAACCCCTCTTTTGCCTTCAACTTTCTTCCTCACATTTGGGGTTAATTTTAGGAAATGGCAAATTCCAAATGTAAGTTAAATTTGGGATAACTCTTTCTTTTTGTGAACAAATTGGAAAGACTTTAGACATTTGACTTAATTTCAAGATAAGATAATTTGATGTTTGTGGCCAAGGATGAAGCTAGAGATCTATATGAATGCGGTCATCCTCAAATAACAAAGTTACAAATTAAAAAGTTTAAGAATGTTCTCAACAAAACACTTATATATTAATCCATAAAGTTTTTTATACAACTTATTACAATATTCCTCAATGCGTTTTATGTTTTCAAATGTTAAATGACAACTTTATTACTAATACCATCAAATCTCAAAATAATTATGTTATCATTCATCCATTGATCTCCTATTCAATTTATCAACAAAAACTTTACAGCTTAATATGCTCTTCCAACAATGGCAATAGTGCATAAAAGAGTTAATACTAATGTCACAAGCAACTAAAAGAGTATATTTTTTTTCAACAACAACAACAAAAAAAATTTTGAGTGGGGGCATCCGCCCATGCTAAGCCTAAGACAGTTCCATCCATGTTTGTGGCTCAAGGTATCGTTTGGTATGCAGACGGAACGAGACGGAACGGAATGGGATGAGACAGAACAGAGATGGAACAAAGATGCCCTCGGATGGAAATAAGGAGGAAGAAGAAGGAGACGGAGATGTTATAATTTTGTGTTCCACGGATGTAGAACAAGTCGTTCCAGGGATGAGGCGGAGCGAAAATTCACCCAAAATTCATCCCGTGGAACAGCGTGTTCCACCCGTTTTAGGCGTACCAAACGTGGGACGGAACGCCTCATCCCACTCCGTTCCGTCCCGTCCCACGTACCAAACGGTACCAAGTGACTCAAAGATTATAAGAACGAGAGGTGCAATTAGTTGTACATCATTGATAATTTGATATTGTCTATGTTTAAATAGTGGCATTGTAATTTTTACGACTTGTGTCAAGATCGTCTAAATTGGTACTCTATAACACATTTTATAAGTAAGAGAAATAATATTAAAACCAAAATAATCTATTTCCACACTCAGCTTTAAAAATATTAGCTTGAATTTCCTATTTCAGTAATCTAAAGGTAGTTTGATGATCATTATATATATATATTTTTTTTTTATAGAAATCTCAATTAAAAAAAAAAGATTAGTTATCAAACGGATTTTTAATTTTTATTTTCAAAATTTTGGTTTCAGTTTTAAATTTGTATTGACAAAATTTAACAAGTTATGTAATCCAATCTAAGAATTCGTTTAGGAAATACTTTTAAATGACTGATTTAGATCCTATTAGAAGAACTTGATTTTCCTCTGGTCGACTTGATTATTCTACCACTCGCACACACATGCATTCGAAGACTTCACTATCATGCCTTGCCATAAATTTTGTTGAACATCAGGATGAACTTAGGCAACTATAATTTGTCCACACTACGCATTGAAATATTATCGTTCTTTTGAACTTCAGGGTTGGGGAGAGACATGTAAGTCTCATGAGCGCTGCACACTTGTTAATACGTGTATCTAAGGTTTGAGGTTATAGAGTTCGAGTATGACTTTGTTTGTAAGCTACCAAAAGGTGTGTACGATAAGGAATGTAGCTAAACAATCCTGATAAACTATACTAATGTTATATTAGCTGATATGGATACTTTGGATTGCATGATAAGGTTGAGTTCGATTAGGACTAACATTATGGGAAGTCTCCTAGTTGAACACCATTGCATAAGGTATAAATATAGGGTCCCTGCACTCTCAATTGATACGCAATAAAAGAGCCTCACGCCCCATAGTATTGAGCCATTGCATTCTGAGATTGACGAGTTGCAGAAGAAGCCTATCTCGATCGCGTTCTAGCCTACATGGTTTCTTCAGGTTAGTGGTTTTTTGGTACAACCTGAGGGCTTCAAAGAAGAAGGGAAGGAAAATATGGTATGTAAACTGAATAAATCAATTTACGGTTTAAAACAGGCATCTAGGCAGTGGTATTTGAAGTTTCATCATGTTGTTAAGGAGCATGGGTTTACAGAAAATCCATCTGATGCTTGTATATATTTGAAAGTCAGTGGGAGCACTTATATCATATTAGTGCTCTATGTGGATGATATTCTTTTAGCAGCAAATTGTTCTAGCCTATTGGATGAAACTAAGTCTTTCTTGCAGTGCAAGTTTGAAATGAAAGATTTGGGTGAAGCTTCGTATGTCTTGGGAATTGAAATCAAAAGAGATAGAGAGAGAGGACTCCTGGGACTATCGCAGAAAGGGTACATAGAGAAAGTGTTAAAAAGATTCAATATGGCATCATGTGGAACCACAGAAATGCCAATTTCGAAGGGTGATAAACTGAACAAAGAACAAAGTCCAAGAAATGAGATTGAAAGGGAGAACATGAAGGACAAACCATATGCTTCATTGGTGGGAAGTTTGATGTATCTTCAGGTCTGTACAAGGCCTGACCTTGCATTTACCATTAGTGTTCTGGGGAGATTTCAGTCCAACCCTGGAGAAGCACATTGGAATGCAGGGAAAAGGGTTATGAGATACCTTCAGAGAACCAAATCTCACATGCTCATTTATAAGAAAACTGAACGTTTGGTTTTGGAAGGTTATAGTGATGCTGACTTTGCAGGTTGTCCTGATGATTTAAAATCAACTTCGGGTTTTGTCTTCACTATGGCAGGAGGAGCTGTGTCGTGGAAAAGTTCTAAACAAGATATAGTTGCAGCCTCAACTATGGTTGCTGAGTACTTGTCATGTTGTGAAACAGTCAATCAGGCAATATGGATGAAAATTTTTATTACAGGATTGAGAGTGGTAGACTTAATTCAAAGGCCTATTCAGATATTCTGTGATAACAATGCAGCCATCTTTTTCTCTAAGAACAACAAAAGGTCAACTGCAACAAGGAATTTAGAGATTAAATATCTCATTGCTCGAGAAAAGGTAATGACAGGACTTGTTAAGATTGATTACTTGGCAACTGGTTCTATGATTGCAGATCCTTTGAATAAGCCGGTGCCAGGTGCAGTGTTCAAGGGGCACGTTGCCAAGATGGGTGTGCTAGCAGGTTTTGAAACTGTGGAATAGTGGGAGTCGTGTTTGTTCAATTTGTTAAGTTCTAGTTAAAGCATGTTTAAATTTATGCATTGAGAATAAGGTTATATTTATAACTAATAAAGATGTTGCTGTTGGTTGTTCAAAGTTCCCTTAAAGCATACAGCATTAGTTATAATGATATGTTTTAATACATGAATATCAATCTGAGTTATTGTTTAAAGATTAACAACCATTGAAGTTTCTTATGAAGCATGAAGAAAGCCTACGTTGGTAGTCATAAGGAGGACCACATGTCAAATGTGTTTTAAATATATATGTACAGTCACATTTACATATTTCCATGTCTTGTTGGAGTTTCATGTATGGTACGGTTTCATGAAGTGATTATGGGGATGTTGTTCTGGAGATGAGCATATAGTTCCTTATAGTTCTTTATGAATGCTTTGCAATGACAGAAACTGGATTTTCAGGTTTATGTTCAACTCTAAACTCATGGCCACTTAAGTATAATCTCTCTTCAGTATTACTATGATTAACAAGTGTTGGCTCTAGTGGGAGAATGTAAGTCTCATGAGAGCTGCACACTTGTTAATACGTGTATCTAAGGTTTGAGGTTATAGAGTTCGAGTATGACTTTGTTTGTAAGCTACCAAAAGGTGTGTACGATAAGGAATGTAGCTAAACAATCCTGATAAACTATACTAATGTTATATTAGCTGATATGGATACTTGGGATTGCATGATAAGGTTGAGTTCAATTAGGACTAACATTATGGGAAGTCTCCTAGTTGAACACCATTGCATAAGGTATAAATATAGGGTCCCTGCACTCTCAATTGATACGCAATAAAAGAGCCTCACGCCCCATAGTATTGAGCCATTGCATTCTGAGATTGACGAGTTGCAGAAGAAGCCTATCTCGATCGCGTTCTAGCCTACATGGTTTCTTCAGGTTAGTGGTTTTTTGGTTTCAGTGAATCAGTTATGTATTAATCTAATCTTACAAGACATTTATGGTAGGTATCGTGGCAAGCCAGGGTCAGAGGTGAGCCTTCCCTCTCATGATATCCTTCGCAGCGGCAAAACCTGTTGGTATACCATGGGTCCAGCCCATGATGAAAGACATTAAAGGATCAGCCCATCATAAAGGAGGGATGCTAGAAAATTCTAGCATCTTATCAAATGCCAAGGAACTAGAAAAATCTGGTTCAAATATGCATGTCGGTGGAGTGCATGCATAAGCTAGAAAGTTCTAGCTAATACTGTGACTGTCATGCAAGCCTAAGTCGGTGGGCAAGTCGGCAAAACTCAATTATAAATAGGGGTGCATGTATGTATCATGGTGTGTGTGTGTGTGAAAAACCGAAGTAAGAGTGTTCCACTCCAAGAGTGAGGGTTATAAGAGTTGTTCCACTTCAAGTTTGAGAGTGAGAGTGTTTCACTACACATTGTGTGTGAGTGAAGTTTAGAGTGATAAAAAGTGTGTGTCATACTTTCTTATATCCATCAAGCCTTGTCTTTGGCTTGGTAAGACTACTCTTGTTGTACTCATCTTTTTCATATAGTGAAGATTGATCATTGTTTCGTGGATGTAGGTATAAATTGCCGAACTACATAAATTCTTAGTGTCTATTTTTTACTTTACCTTGTGCATTCTCTATCTTGTAATACCGACATTCCTAACAAAACCCTCATGGAATCCTTATTTGGAGGACTCGAACTTAAATCTGATATCCCTGCCCTCATCAATCGTTACATGGACAAGGTGATGTAGCACTTAACTGTTTACTTGAATTGTTTTCGCCTTACTGAACCCGGATATCCTTTTAATTTTTTTTTATTTTCATGCTATCGGGAACTACAACTGGATGAGTTTGTGACACATGAAGTAAGGTTTGAAGACATCAACAAAGCTTTCGATTTGCTTATTAAAGGGCAATGCCTTCGATGTATAATCCATATGAGCACTGACTAAGTTACTTCTGCAAGTAACAGCCTTTACATTTATATTTATTCTATGATATCAATAAGCATGTAAGGTTTCAGTTTCTAAATAAGTACTTATTTGCATCCCTTGCTACCTTTTCTTCTTAATTTCTGTAACAAGGATACACATGGAAGAAAAATCCTAGATAAATATTTAAGACACTGCAAATCCACTAGATGCGCCGGTGAAGTAGGTGTTGGGTGAGTCCTTTGTTTCCTTTGCTGAACCAAAATGCCTTAGCCTGTACACCCCTGAATTTGTATCCGTCGGTATTTCCCATTCTATGGTTGCTGTGCCATATAAGCTACTGGTATCTACATTCCACTTGAAAAACAGGGAGAAATCATCGTCGTCGTAAACAGGAACCCAGTGTTTTCCTTGAAGCATCTCTACCACTGCATATGTCCCTTCCGTCAATAGGTCATATCTTGGGTTAGCGCTCCAAAATGTGGCAGTTGGTCTATCTCCCTTTTGGAATGATCCACTTTTTGGTAAGCTGACATCCTCCTTAATATCTCCAAATTTTGTACCTGGGGGAGGTGAGTCTCCAGTAGGATCACCTACTCTGATTTGTACAGAGGAAAGATCTGGTGGTAAGGGACCTTTAGGAAGGTCTTTGTCTCCCTTTGCCATCGCCTTGGCTAATTTATTGAATTCTTGAATGTACGCTGATAACGTGTGAGGACCATAGAGAGTGGAAGCAGCCTGCAGATTGCACGATGCATTGAAAAATCTAGATTTAAGTACTGCGAAGTTAAGAAATTGTTTCCCTAGGAATCCATTTAGGTAAATCTCATGCCAAACATGTTAAACAATAAATTTTGTTTATAGGTTGAGTTTGTACCTCATATCGTTGTTGTGCGTATTCCTCGAAAGTTGCAATATATTGCGAGTAAGTATTAGTAAGCCCTGCTATTACAATGCGAGTATCCTCATCAAATTCACCGTTGCTGTTACTTATAAGGGTCTCCTTGACCGCTTCCCTTAGCCGCCGACCGGCCATTGTAGTGAATTCTGCAAGAATCGGTAGCTTAGAGCTTGTTAAATCCTTTAGTACTGCTGTCAAGAGCAGCCCTTATGAGCGCGAAACCCTGTGAATGGTGTGTGCTCCTGGTGGCTGTTGGTATTATAGTATATGTCACTTGTGAGGGGATTTAGTTTTTAGAATTTAGATTGATTTACGCAGTAAGTTGTAAATGAATGTCAGTAGTGTTGGAATGATGCTGCCTTTATGCTTTGGTAAAGAATTAGTCAGTGCGCATGCGATCGATATAGGTATGAGTTGTGAATTGTAAAAGAGGACTAACCTCCTGGGACAGAAAGTATGATCAGCTTCCCCAACCTGAGCATTTGAATAGGAACGATTGCAGGCTGCATTTGAACCATAAGGTTAGAATAGTTAGAGAATTTTCTCTGAACTGCGTGCTACACATGTGTTTAATGTGTTGAATTCCCCCCTCCCCCCATATCGCTTTGTGTAAGGAGTCTTACCGCCCATGCATAAGGTACAAACATTTCCCCAGTGCTGAGCAGAACTGCCTTGGGCTGTTGGCAGTTCACTTGATATTGGCTGGGTTTTTTTAGCGAATCCCTCAGTCTTCTCCATGTCGAATTGATCTGAAAACAGATGATTGATTAACCCGATCGTAGGAGTCTAGGAGAGCAACTTACATGACACGGATGCCAGGGTGAAGGAAGGTGTACCCATTAGGAAGAAAATAGTCCAAAATAAAAGTGGAAGATGCTGCTGACCTTTTGATCACCCTGTTGGAAGCCAAAGACACCCGGTCCATCTGTAGTCCCAGCGGCAAATCCCGGACCAAGCCCCGCGGGGCATGTTTTCACTTTCTTGTTTCCTTCCAAATCAACCTCAATATTCGTGAAATCTAGGTACACGTGGCGAAAGTCTATTTTCCCGGTCAGCTGCTCTGTAGCCGACGTGAATAGATCAGCCGCCCTTAGAAATTGCCTCTCCCCTATAATTTTCGTGCTTTGTATTTCATCCGGGTACCTATCAGCATGGCGTTAACGAATTAAAACGGAGTCACTATGTTACAGATATGCACATTGCGGCCGAGTACTGATATTGTATTGTTATGAAATGCATCGATAACATGTTGGTACGATTTGTTAGCATTATGAGCATACCCAGGTCCACGTCCGAGGCAGAGTTGGTTGTTCCCATGACAGGAGGAGTGAGTGAAGTCGCAAGGTTTTCCAGAATCGGTGCAAAACGCTCCAAGGACATTTGGAGTCACATCTCCCACGTTGGATTGGCAAAAGGCTCCCACAAATAGTGAGCCATCGTTCTTCCTCACCTTAAACTTGCGACTGGTTGTTTTGCCGCAGGGCTTCCCTCCCGTTGCTTTGATATTTTCCGCCTTCTTTATTAGCGCTGCTGCCACGCTACTATCTGCATCAAAGAACATAATTAATTTACAGAACGTAGTTTAAAGATCATGATCTGGTGATAACTATAATTACCTGGTGGAGATGATATCGTGGCACCAGTACTAGTATTAGTTGTAGTGAACCAGTCCTCGAAGAATCTGGCAGCGGCACCTTTGTTGTCGCCACTGATGAGCTTGTTGTCTTTGCTCATGGAGGTTCCGTGGGTGGCAAACCAGCTGAATGCTCCGATGCTCTTCCCGCTTCCGCCATCCACAAACTTCAATAGAGTCATCAGAGTATCCACATCTTTCGGGTACCGTGCTCTCTCCTCTGCCGGGTTTAGCAGATAAGCACTCGGACTCCTGTTTATTCCCGCGTTTACCACATCCCCTACAAAGTATTCAAATCCCGTCAATTAGCGGCAGTTAGACCTTGTGTAGTTAAGTGATCGGGAGAAATTTTGATACAACAAATATTCCGCTTTAAATTAATCTAAAATGTTCGAAGGAGGATTCGAACTTGGATGCATACTAAAGAGCAGACTTGCTCTAGTCAACAATAATGATAGAGGAAATTTGACATGTAGCTTGTTAGACGGAGTGATCGGAAACTTGACTCCGTCTAACATAGCTAACCTTGACTCCGTCTAACATAGCTCACCTTGGTTGATGAAAATGGAACCAGGCTTGAGGTTGTGATGAGCCAGAACAATGCTCTGCACAATTGCATTGACGATGGCATCGAAGGATTGTTGGACAAAGCCCAAAGATGTTACAGTGTAAACTAGATACTGCAAATAACCCCCTGGTCCTGCGTGCGTGTGAATCCCGCTAATCGCCACATTGTCTTCAGTGTACAAGTTTCCAAACCTTCAAGGCGAAAGCACACATTAATTAAAACAGTATTGATTAATTAATGCATATGTGGGGTTAAGACAATGCGTCGACCTTCTTCCACTTGATTCCGTATCTCCATTAGGTAAATTACACTAATTTAGAACATCGCCTTTGTTAAAAAAAATAGTACTGATTAATTATATACCTTGATTTGAGTTTGTCGAGCACTTTAATGTTAACCAGTTGTGAAGCCATTCCAGCATCAAGATTAACAAAGGCGAACCTTGGACCTTGGGAACTCTCGGCCACGATGAAGGTTCTTGCCCTTAGCCGGAAGTGTACACCGGCGGTATTCTGGTCCATGCTGGCATAACCCATCATGTTGACCCCGGCAGCCGGGCCAGTCATGTCAAAGCTGCCCACTCCAATCAAATACTCCCCATTACTACCGTCGTCTGATCTTGTAACAGGGAAGCTAACTAAAACGCTAACAATAATAAGTGACAGAAGAGTTGAGTTCTGCTGTGGAATTTTGCTTCTGGTCTTCATGTTTGATAGCAAATTAACCAAGTTGATTAGCATGAAGTTGTATATATATGGGTTAAGCTCGATATACTTATCGATAACTTAGAATTTGTCCCTTTTTTTAATAGGTGCACAATGATTTTCTTAGCATGTAGTGACTGCTAATGACTAGCTTCCATCGCTTGTTTCAACCTAAAACAAAAAAGTTATGGGGTTTGAGTTGGCAAAACAAGAGCATCTCTTTTCTCGGTTGCTCCGCCGCGTGCATGCGAGCGATGGACAAGGTTTGCTCTTGTCCACATTTGTGGCCATTGCGTGCGTTTAGCGGCCAACTACACATATATATGTTCTTTGCATGTGCATACAGAAAATTCCTGAGCTTTTGATGATAGGATGTTGCTATTCACACACTTATTTTTATTTCTCACACATCACTCTTAATTTTCGGCCGTTAATTCGAATGAATTGAAGAAAATTAATGGAAGAAAATTAACAAGAGTGTGTGGAATGCAGAAAGTACATGTGAATAGCACTATCCTTGATCATAATAGCCTGTTGGTTTTGCACAAACGTTTTTTGTGATTCTGTAAGCCACATGAATGTCATCAGCTGATGGTCGTGCCATGACTCATCAATGCATCAACAAATTAATTCGTAATATTTGATCATAATATTAACTTGTTAAGAATTGTTAACAGCCACTTCAAAAAATTCACTCTACTCATCTTCCTATGATTTTTTATTTTTTATTTTTACAATTATTATAATGATCTATACTAATTAAATTCATATAAACTACAAAAAAAGTGGTAATTCAAATTTAGGTGCATAGATAATAGTTGCTGATTATAATTCCAACCGCGGCCTAACCACTCATTTTTAAACAACTGAAGTAAAGAGAAAATTAAAAAGTCAAAGTACGCGAAATATGACAATCTTTTGATATGAACAAACAACTGAGCGACGAGAAAAACAATACCAACTTGTCTAGGCTCTTAATCTAAAAACTAGACCAATCAAGATATACAATATTGTAAAAGGTTAACGCATTCAATCATAAACGTACTTCACTTTGTCGAGAAAGTTTTATGAGATGACCTCTTCACATAATTATCAAAATTCGTCTAGATTTAAATAAATAACTAGCTATAGACTTGGAAAGAAACCCCGTCTATCTAGTCAGAAGTTGCGTTAATGGGTAAGCAAGGTTAGATCTCATAAAAAGGTTGTTAAAATTTCATGTAGAGCGTTGATTGTGTGAATGATTGAAGGGGCCTCGCCTTGTTGCACACAAGCTTGTATTTGTAAAAGCAATATGCGCGATGACCTCGTTGAACACACACTCTCTCTCTAATCTCTACGGCGATGACCTTATCAAAATTTATATCAACCATATGCTATTGGCCAATAGCAAAACTTACAACCTTTTCCGTATCTTTTGATACATACCTTCAAAGACCCATGCAGTACCCAACAATAGCCGTAGGAAGTCTTTTGGTAAATATCAAATATTGTTTCTTCGATTTTCCATTCACCCCTTAGACTATCTCCAACCCTTGGGTTAAAAGCCAAATTTTTTAGCTCAAAAAATTTAGCTTTTAACCCAGAAACAATTTTTCTGCTTCAACCCTTCTGTCCTAAAATTTTAGTCCGGGATTATTAAATAATGAACTTAGGCTAATTTTTTCTTAAATTAACTTTTAAAAAAAAATAATTATGTAGACTATCGTAAATTAATTTTATGAACATTTTAATCTAAAAATATTTAAATTCTGATAAATATTAAAAAATCACTAAATTTTTCCACAAAGCAAGCCTTCATTTTTTAAAAAATTATTTTAGCCGTTGGATTTAAATTTGGGCCGTTAGATTTTTTTTTTACCATTATATTTGATTATATTAGATCTCAGCTGTTGGATTCAATGTATTTTAAAAAAAATTAAATTTGAATCTAGACCGTTGGATCAACCAACGGTCCAATAATGCCAACCGTCCAATGAACAAAAGAGTCGTTGGGCTCATAATTGCTTCCGACAGCAGCCCGGACAGTGGGTCCCACCCTGTCGGGCGCTGAAGGCTAACGCCCGCGTGGGGCGAGTGGCGCGAGTGACGGGGCCGAGAGTGGGCTGGGAAAGAGAGAGTTCATACATTTCTGGGCTATTTCTTGAGGGGAATTTGGCCCTCAATTGGCATTTGGCTTTTAGCCCAAAGATTTGGCTTTGGTTGGATTGGGTTTGGGGGGGGGGAATAGGAGGGGAAATTTAGCATTTAGCCCAGGATTGGAAATTTAGCATTTAGCCCAGGATTGGAAATTATCTTATCGTACAAATTTAGATGCAAATAATAACACACTACTCTTAACTTATCTATATTCAAATTTATCTTTTTCTCAATGAACATGCATGATATTCAGTATCGAATTTGATCATTGGCATGAATCATGAGTGTCGTCAATTTACCCACAAACGGATAAAATCGAGACATCAGAATGTGGGCCTAATGGAGTAATGTTCATCATGACCACAGCCTAAGACTACAGATCGAGGAATGTAATGTGTGGATGCCTCTGGATCTGGATGGTTCCACCATTGAAATTTTCAGTACCATACATCCGTCCATCTGTGCGAGCTTTCTTTTCGGTCGCTACTCCCCTTACGTCGATGCCCCGCAATTCACTATATGATTGTGGGCTTGAGGGACACACACACTCCTTCACTTTTCTTTTTATCTTTTTGCTTTTTTCGTTTTTTGCCCCTCAAAAATAGGCAAGTTGGCTCGCCTTCAACTACAGAGAATTAGTTGATCGATGCAATGTCTCCAGTCTTTTACGTCCAAATCATAATAATTTTTAATCAATTAATTTTATACAAAAATTTGCGGATGATGTCTTTCAAGTTTTGAATGATTTCTTAATTCATGTCCTCTAATATTAATCCAACAAGACGAGACGATGTCATGTATTTTCAACTTTTTAAAACTGTAAATAATGTAAATCATGTTAATTAAAAAAATAATAATATTAATATGAATCATCAGTTCACTACTTGGAAGAAACGGACTATCAACAATAAGGGTGCTGCGTGCACGATCCATCATTTTCCCAACTGTCATCGTGCTCATATTTTTGTCAAATTTCAAATTGATGTAGGAATAAAGAAGCAACCAGCTGGTGAGATCCAAGTAAGTCCCTCCAGGCAGGCCCCACCACAAGCTGACAATGTCGATGTGGTAACGTTATTGTATTGATTCAGTGAACCCTCCCACATTTTGTGTTAACATTCATCTCTTTACATATCTGCTTATTTGGCAGAAGATTAGAACAAGCTCACGATAAAAAAATAAAAAATAATAAAAAAAAATAAAAAAAATAAAAACCAAAAACCAAAAACTAAAATTAATATTAAATAAGTTATGCTACTTTTTTTTTAGTCTCACAAGTTAAAGTCTAATTAAATTAAGAGTGATCATTGACATTCCTATCTCCACCAGTCAAGCCTCCCTTCTTTAGCACCTCTACGCATGTTGACATGTTGTTGCTCTACTTATCACTCCATCTCCATCTTAATCTTCACTTACACACATGTACAACAATATACGGTCATTGATCCAAGTGATCGTCCAGATTAATTAACGAAATGTTGGTTCCTTGGGCATTTTCTTACATGTCTTCATTTGCTTCTTAAATAGTCAACGTATAAATTACTCCAAAGGAAGATCATATTGTGAATTTTGGTGATAAAACAAATTTACAAGGAACCATTCAACATTCATAATCGGATTTATAATCGTGATCGACCAGTTTTTATAAATGCACGCATGCTAAAAGCTAATGCGCCCACACACACACACACACAGATCACACAAAGAGAATACAAAGGAACAACAAATATCTTATTAATCAACAATAATGTTTATATCACACACAAAAGAAAGTAAAGGTCCTTACAGAACAGAGAGAACCCTAGAACGGAAACCCTAGACAAACTTGTAAATGAGCGCAGAGTCTCTCTCAAAAGAAAACGGCAAATAAACCACCCATCACAAAAACAAGGAAAAATAACAAGCCACAAATGACACCACCATAACCACTCTTTCCGAACACAGGACAAGATTATGTATGCGTTTTTTCTTTCTTAATCCCTTAATTAGTAGGAAGGAGTATCCTTCTCTTTCTCCTTGATGTCCTTGTGATCTTCCTCGGTCTTGGAATGGTACCCTGGAAGCTTTTCCTTGATCTTCTCCAAAATACCCTTCTTTTCCTTGGGCTCTTCTCCAGCTTCATAAGAGGCTGCTACCGGTGGCTCCGCCGCATGTTTGTCGTCACTGTGCTGTTCGTGCGAAGCAGCACCAACTGGAACCTCCTCAGTCTTCTTGTGGCCAGGTAGCTTTTCCTTGATCTTCTCGAGGAAACCCTTCTTTTCCTCAGTTGGAGAGTCGGTTGGCTCTTCGTGGTAATGAACAACCGGAGCTGGAGCTGGAGCTGGATGATGATGTTCCTCCTCGTACACCTTCTCCACCGGGACAGCCGTGTCCTCCTCCTTGTGATAGCCTTCTTCCTTGTGCTCATCACCGGAGATCTTCTCCTTGATCTTATCCGTCAATCCCTTCTTTTCTTTCCGCTTCTTCTTCTTCTCTTCATCTTCCTCCTCATCACTTGACTGCAAATATTAAATATTCAGAGTTATTTCAAACAGTTTAGACAGACTAAATTTTAAGTTAATGGAAATCATGAAGAAAAAGTACAAATGTTATGTGAAGGGATACAGTCAACAAGAACACTACGTGATTACACGTGGCATATGCATAAAAACACCAGGAAATGCCAGCTGGAAGATCTTGGAGTGATTAATTTTTTTTACGAGCATATTTGGAAACCCTTCTCTCTTTTTTGGGTTAAGAAATCTTGCCAAACATATGTATATGATACATGCTCTCCTCTTAATTAGCTTAAAATAAATAGCTTGTAATAAAAAATCAATTTATGAATACTTACAGAGCTAGAGCTGCTTTCAGATCGGTGAAGCTTCTGCAGGAGAGTCTCGTGCTTCTTCTCCTTGTCTTCCTCCTCTTCTACTTTGTTGTATGATGATGCATGCTGATCGTGATGATCGGAGATCTTGACTTTCTCATCAAACTCGGCGACGTTCACCTGATCCCCTTGCTGATAAGGAGTTGGCTTCTCCTCCTCTTTCTTCCCCAAGAAATCAAACAACCCACGATCCTTGGTCTCGCCTGCACCCGATCCCTCCTCGTAATCCCCAGTCTTCCTCTCGTACTCGTGTTCATCGCTCTTCTTGTTGTACTCCTCCGCCATTCTTTTCTTAATATCAAATCACAACTTACTACTTAATGAATAATGATTTTGTAAAGAGAGAAGATGAAATATTGCTTTGATGTTCTTTGCTGATGCAGAGAGTGAGCTTTTTATAGCATCCACCCACACGCAAATGACGCGATTAAGTTAAAAGATATTATACAAAACAAATGTGATATATACACATCATTTTTTACTTTTCACACTCCTTATTGATTGATGTCATTTGATATTCATTAATTCATTCGATCCAACGATCGAAAATTGAGAGAAATATGAAAAATAAAAAGAAATGTGTGGATAGCATAACCTTATATAAACTAATACATTCATTAATAAAATAAATGTGAGTAGTGGCAAAACCTAATCCTACTTCTTTCAATATTCCATATTTCTTTTTTATAAGATACACCAAATGCTGTGCCATTTCCCTTCTTTCCAATTGTAACCGACCGACGTGGTACAAAGGAGATAGGAGAATTGGCATCCGCACAACTTTCCACTCGCCATGGATGGCCGACACGTGTCTGGATGGTGTATGTGCCAGTTAGGCGCGGCGAGTGTGCTGTCCTTGCTGGCAAAGCAAATAATGGGAAGGAAATCAAACAGTCGAAAGGCAAAAGAAGAAAGTAGAAATGATGCGAGGGAGGAGAGGACGGACCAATAAGGGCCTGCAACGTGTAAGAAGAATGTGGAAGGATGCCATTATGGGACCCCAAAGTGTCGGCCTTGTTTGGATGAATGCGAGAAGGTCGGTTTGATGGAGTGGCCCATGTGGCAGTCGTCGGAAAAAGGCAGGGGTTTTTCGAGATTTGCGACTGGTAGGTGCCCATAACTAATCATGGTGGGCCATTTTAGTATTCATCAGCGTGATGAACGGTTATCATCTTGCTACATATTTAGTTCATCACGTTGGTGGGGTACAGAGTACAGAGGGGCAAGCATTATTTTGTGGTCCTAGGTTTTTACCACTTGCCGCGCTTCTCGAAATATCGCATCAGGGCGCCGTGTCATTTTGGTTCGCCCAAAACTCAATCAATAGAATAGGATGAGGATCGCATCGTATTCAAATTATGGGAATTAAAAGGATCCTTACTTCTTAAACGTTTATAGTATATTATGCAATTAATTTTTATTAAATATTATTTATGTTTAATTTTAAATAATAAAATTTAAATTATTTTTAACCGACGATATACGATAAACGTTTTATAATTTGAGAATCCCTACCATTTGAATCCAGATGGGATCCTCATCCAATAGAATATAGGGAGTTTTAATGAAAAATTTTCGGTACTGTTCACTTTAACGAAAAAACACGTTTTTACACTAAAAAGTCAAATATGATACTATTCACTTTACCTTTTATTTTGTCTTTATTATTAAAACTCAAAATTTTCAAATTTTTTTTATTAGTTTTTCTTATAATATAACTTAAGTACCTTTTGGACGGTCTGCACCTGACATCGCCACGTGTCCTATGCACGTGACTTGTACTCTTTGTCTATTTTTTTTTTAACTTTAAGATGAATATGTAGTTTGATCTATTTGTATTTTTTTTTTGGTCAATATTTTGATCTATTTGTACGTCTTAATAATTTGTTAAATTGTATATTTTTAAAATTTTTTAATATACTACATAATTTTTCACGTTTAATCATGTTATTTCAAACATTTTTTAATAATAAAAAAATTTACGTTCTTATTGTAACTTTAACATTTTTTTTTGAAAGAATAGAAATATGTAAATATTTTAAATATCAAAATTGAAAAAGTTGTCAAAATTTTCAATATATTTTTAGTAAAATTGTCAAATGATATACGGACATTTTTTCACATACTACATCAATACGATATTTTATTAACGTATAATAGAATAGAAATAGTGTTCAATATAACGATATAATCGACAAAACTAACAATGATGCACATATTAAAAGTTTATAGGAGCTCAAAAATGAAGGCTTTGAAAAGAATTTTATTTTTGAAAAGATAAGAGAAACTGAAAATATCTGATTTATGGTGTTTACCAAATTGAAAATGCTATTAGTGAGCAATATCAAAACATAGATAATGATAAAGTATACAAGAATGGCAATCATTGGCCCCCAACTATAAATCAAACTTGTATTTTGGGGTTTTTTTGCCTATTTCAGTCTCTGCGAACCAACCGGCTTCACCGCCCATAGTATGCCATATGTATTTTCGTTATACATTTGAAGGCATTTTATCCAAGTCCAAGTAGAGATTTTTTAGTATGATCGGCACACGAGATGATACATCACATGTCACTATACATATGAAGAAATATGTTTGTTAAAAGTTAATAACTTAAAAAATAAAATTTACCACAACTTACATAAAAACACGTGATATACAACCTGTATTCTCGTCATAATAAAAAATTTCTCAAATCCAAGGACTTCAGATGAATCGATCACAAAGAAGACTTCTCTCTCTTAATCATTGGTCCTTAATCCTTTACAATATGGTAGGAGTGGGTCAGATTTAGAATATAGTGATTTTTAATTCAATCCAATCGAATTCCTAGCCACCAAGTTATGGTACAGGCTAGTTTGGTATTGCTGTGTTTTGAAAAAAAAACTACTTCTGTTATGCTCTAAGAATAAGCTCATTTTTACTGCTTCACATTTTCAGCTTTTTTCATCCAAAACTGTTAAATAAGCTGTTTTTAAATGTTTATCAAACACTTTTTTGAGTTCGGTTTTTTTTTATACCCATTTTTTATAAAAGCATCTTAGTACCGAACCACTACTAAGATCAATCAAATTCGACCATTTCTGTCATCCATCCTTTATAGTATGTAGTCCATATAGTCCATGGAACTTGGAAACAAACAATAGAGCAAAAATATATGTAAACACAAACAGCCACACAAAAAGCATACTGCAAACTGAAGGAAGAAAAATCATACTTCTTCAACTAAATTTATGAGTGAGAGAGGATGAAGAATAAATAACTCCCAATCACTTTTGCACTTCCAATGACAGAATTAAGCAACAACTAAACAAGGCTGAAATAAACACTACCAGACCAAATGAGTTCAGTTCAGCTGACAACGGATTCCATCCAGCTGCTCAAATCAATGACCCAATCAACTGCAATCCATCCATTATGCACAACCCAAACCCAGGATTCTTCATAGTTGAACTCCTCCGACTACGTTGGGTTTTGATTTTGCTGTCTTAATGTAGCTTATTAGAGATTCCCCAGCACCACTTAAACCTTTCCTCCCAACCAACCTCACCCCAAATTCCACATTTATCATTCTCATCTTGTTCCCATCACCTTCTACCTCACTCAACTTCATCGCCTGATTCCTCGAAATCAAGCCATACAAACAAAGAGAGAGACGTGATCCCACCTCCATATTTCCCACTCCAAATTTCACCCTCAACAGCGAGTTGGCAGAATCAAACTCATTTGACCGAGGATCAAACAAAACGGAGAAGCTCCCACATCTTACGTCAGGGGTGTCAAATAACTTATTCAAATCGTCCATTTCATCACCAACATTACTTGGTTTTTCCAACGGGATAATTGACCGCTTTTTGGCTACTCTCAGTATGTTAGCAGCCTCTCTCATCCCGCTCAGAAAAGCTCCGTGCATTGTTGCCGGATACTGCTTGTTAGTGGCCTCCCCAGCAAAGAACACTCTCCCATCTCCAATACTCTCTGCCAGAATATCATAATCATCTCCTGAAGACCCTACTGCAACATAAGAATAAGAACCGTATGCAAAGTCGTCCTTCCCCCACCGAGTGCACACTGCCTGAATAGGTTCCGGAACAGCAATCCCTTTCGGGTTGAAAATACCCCTTAATATGTCCAACACCCTATTCACAGACTCAACAGGAGACATCAACTCAAACTTAATTGCAGCATCTCCAGCCACAAGAGCAACCAGAAGAGGCCCTCCTGATACAGAAGAGTAGCTATAAAACAGAAAGAACTCGCCTCTCATTCTCGGATCCTCAGTCAAATGCCCAAAAGTATCAATATCCCCACCCCAGAAGTTATAAGGGAACAATATGGCAACCTTATTCAGTAATCCAAATCCTATACTCTGAATTGCATCCTTCTTCCTTTGTGGAAGGCCAGGGACAAATTCAATGGAACCCTTCTTAAGCACGCCTAATGGGACTGTGCAAAGAACCATGTCCCCACGAAACTCCTGCCCGTTTGCATAAACCAAAACCCCATCAGAACCATACCGAATACTCTGCACAGTCCTTTCATAGAAGATTGGAAGGCCCTCTGCAAGGGACCGCACAAAAGTCTCATTGCCTCCCGGGATAAAACAATGGTCACCTCCCATCTCATAGGGATCATCCTGATCCCAATAGGCCATGGACAAATTGGACATCAAGGAAGCATTAGCATATTCCAAATTAGCAAGATGCCAGTCCAAGAGCATTCTCTCCTGCGTGTCTCGTGCAACACTATAAACGCGTCGAAAAGCTTCCAACGCAGTCCCTAATGGAACATCTACGGACTTAACTTCTTCAATCATTGCGTGCCTAAGCTTACAAACTCTATCTAACAACTTATTAAAAGAAGTCTCTATACTAGAATCCATCTCAGAATTAACAGCTTTCCCATCTGGTAAATAAAGCGGGCAAATATCCCTCACCTTATGAAGAGGCAAACCCAGTTGCCTAGCTAAAACTCCGAGCGGGTTTCCATTGATTCCGGTGAGAACACTTCCCCCGAGATCCGCCGCAGCCTCCACTCCCTCGCGCTCGCCTACCATCTTCCTCGTCTTCACGCGACCACCAGGCCTGCTTCTACCTTCCAAGACAACAACTTTAAAGCCCAAAAACACTAATTGCCTCGCCGCCACCAAACCCGCCAAGCCAGCCCCCACAATGACCACATTGCCCCTCTCGGCCCCGTCAAACGACCTCAATTTTGCTTCTTTCACCGCCGGTGCAAGCCCGAAGTTGATGTAGCCGTGCTCCACCAGAAAGTCGTAAGCTGAGTCGACCAGGCCCTTGTGCTCCGAGCGAATCGACTCCAGCGCCAGCTCCCGGGTTAACCAGAAAGACACATTTGACCTCCACCGAGACAGAATGTGGTTCCTCACGACGATATAGTTGGCTTGCTCAACGCCGCCGATGGTGGGGACCACGTTGGCCTCGATTTCCTCCTCAGTGAGCGAGTCGACCGGAAACCCCACTGAGATTGCGATTAGGGCTTCGACGTCTACGTCTTTGTTAAGGTCGGTGCGGCGGTTCTTGGCCAACGACGGAGAGCCATTGAGCTCCGTGAAGAACTTCTTCCTGCGACGGCGTCTCTTGGCTGGCAGACCGGGTTCAGCTGGGCCCGCTTCGATAGGGTTTTGGAGGTGCTGTTGATCGAGAAGGGTGTCTTCACCTTCGAGAATGGGCTCGGATGAGTCATCTTGAGAGTCCGAAACGGGGGCTTCGAGAGTCGTTTGGGGAGGTGCCGACGGGTTTTCCGACGAGTGGTTTTCGTGAGGGGTCGAGCTTGAGGGAGTGAGGTCGGTTTCCGGCGACGAGTCGTCGAAGACGACGTCGTTAGGGGGATTATCGGAGTGGTTTAGGGGGTTGTCCGTTTTTTCCATGTGGGAATGTCATTCATTTGGCTCCACTGCAAATGTGGACTGTCTTTAACTTGTATAGAATTTTAGGGCTTTTGGATTCAAAAAAACTTCCACACCAAAAAGAGCTGGGCTTTGGAACTTAAGAAGGCCCAGCTTTGCACCAAACACAAGAGAATTGGGCCGGTTGAAAAGCCCACTTTAAGTTTAACTTTTTGTTTTTTCCGCCAAAAAGCCATCACAAATAAGGATTTGACTACAATACTTACCCAGAAAGTCATGATCACAAGATTTGAAATTACCTCCCTCTCTAGTAGATTTGATGCTTGGTAGTTGATTGTTCAGGTATCATAGTAGCGATTTTAATGTTTGACACTTATTTTAGGATTATGTGTAAGTAAAAGAATGTGTGACACACTTAACAGGAGATACAATTACTTGTATATTAATTCATGATAAATCAACAATAGTAAGCATTGTGAATTGTATTTTATCAATTTTACCTAAATTTGTTTACTAATTTTGATTAGTATTTATTCATTTGATATTTGTAAAAGGGTACTAAAATATTTCCTTAACAAGTTTCACTTCTCAAGCTTTCCAACATGCTTCAAGTAAAATTAAAACAGCCAAGTTATGTTTGCATGTACTTAGAATGAAATTAGCGTTATTCGAATTGATTAGGTGAGTGAGATTGGATATAAGGATACTATAGCACTACGAATGTGACCCAGAAGAGTAGAAGAATGAAAGTTATTATGTGACATACAATGCATGACAGACGTATGATCTCTAAAGTATAAACCAATCTGTTGTAACATGAACTACAACAGTAGAGCACGGTAAGCTATTATTCCGACAGTGAGTCAAGATACAAAACTTCAAAGACTTGATTATAAATTCATAAGCTATTACTTTCCCTGCCCATCCTTCTACAAATAACTGTGTTATTGATTGTCATACTCTCTTTAGACCCAACCACGACTCCCTGCGGTTGACGGTCCATGATGGAAGGGCTTTAGCTTAGTCTTCTTTATTTACTTCATTTTTTATATACGGTCAACACAATTTCATGACCACCAAATTATATGGTTGGAATCGGTTTGGTTAATCACAATGGTAAATCAACCACCGGGCGATCGAGTGACGCAAGTCAAAGTGCTCTTTCTATGAAGATTTATGGGCTGGTGGTTCAAACTTCCGAATGAGATCGAAGAATACTGAAGATGAGATTTATGCTGAGTGAAATGTTGTGTATGAGAAAAAGAAAAGCCGCGAGAGATAAAATAGAGGACATGTATGTATAAGAAAAGGAAAGAATATCATAGTTGCGAGAAAAAAGTATAAACTGATGAAACAAGAAAAGTATCCACTTAACAAAAATAGGATATGCTTAGGGTTTTAAACTTTCAAATGTGTTTGATGTGGTAGTACATTTAGGTGAAGGTTGATGTATGTTTTTGCCCAACAAATGTTCAGTTGAACCGAACATTTTGATATCTAAACCGCAACCAAATCTATTAATGTTAATGCATTATGGTTTACCATTAGTATATTGGAAAAAAATAGAATAAACGGCTGGTTCAACCAATTTTTTTAGAAAAAAACCCGACATACCAAATTATACTATAAAACCTAGCCATTTGAGTAACTCACAAAGGGATCCCATTCGGATCTAAATTGCAGGGATCCTAGGATCTTCAAATTTTAGTCATTTATCATGCATTGTGCGGTCAGAAATCATTTGACTTTTTGATTTAAAATTAAACATAAATAGTACGTGACAAAAATTGGTCGCACGATATACGATAAACAACTAGGAAGTGGATCTGAAGAGGATCTTTTTCCCTCACAAAGATCAATTTTAAGGTTGAAAAGATTTTTCAGTGTGCTGGTAACACGATTGAATATATCAAATGTTATAATACAAGTTAATTAAATATTAAAAAAAACAATTTTAATTACTTATATTCATAGAGAAGTTTTATTCGAACCCATACAACCTATCTCTACACCAAACTTAAACTTTAAATATGAATTGTCTTTTTACTCTATTATATAATTACCATTAAGTACAAGATGAAATTAACAATACTACTTAAATTTATCAATAAACCCATCCCAATATCAAACTCTTACAATCTTAAGATGAAACCCTAAGACTTGAGATAAAAAAAAAATGTACTAAACTTAATGAAATCGTGGTTTTGAAGATTAGAAGTATACTACAAATTCTGAACTTGAAATATGAAACGAATGGTTTGTCACCCTGTAAGAATTTATTGGTTCCAAGAAAACGACGGCGGCTAATGTTTGATCTTTATAGATTGGTCTTCTGCATAACGTATGATTTAGGCAGGAAGTTACAAGAACTTACATAAGGTTGTAATCATTTGAAGATTGAGATTTACAATTATAGTCTAAAGTCCATATTATCGTAAACAATTCTCCTAGTGATGTTCGTTTTCGAATTTTTTGAGATGTCTCTAGTGTTCTTGTAAATGGATCACATATTTACTTCTTAGACACCGATACATTTATTAAGCTCGTGTCATTTTGAGATATAGCTTGAGGCTTATAGGTAGTAGTCACGACCAGTTGGCTGATTTAACTTTTCCAACATTTTGTTGAACTGTTTTACTGAACTATGTTTGCTTCTTACATGTTCTACTTTCGTCATCATACTCTACTCAAGAAATATCATTTACAAATTATGATCGGGAGTTATGGTTTAGAGATCATCTTTGCTACTCAATTGGTAGTATACTTCCAATCCTTAAAAACACAATTTCATTGATTTCCGTATACTTCAAGTAAATTTTATTGCAGTATACTTTTAATCCTCAAAAACATAGTTTATTGCAGTATATTTCCAATAAACCATTCATTTCATATTTGCAGTATACTTCCAATAAACCATTTATTTCATATTTCAAGGTCAGAAATTGTAAAACAATATTAAGTTTGGGTTTTTTTTTTATAAATGGATGTAAAGATAAATTTACATATTGAATTGAGTTTGTGAGGATAATTTAGGTAGTAAATTTGGGTTTGAAGAGATATTGATAGTTTAATTAAAAATAATATGGATACAAAGAGTAAGTTGGGTGTAAAAAGAAATTATATGGGATCAAATAAAATTTCCCATATTCATAGCACATTGAAAAATTTCTCTTAAATTTTACCCAAAAAAAAAAAATCTCTTAAAGTTAGCCTTTTTTATTGTATTTTACTTTTATTTTTATTTTTATGAAAATCTTTAAATAAATATATATATATTTTTTGGAAAAAAATCTTTAAATTAATTGAATTTAGAGAAGGGCAAGAAAATAAGGGTAGAGGAAGAAGGAGAGAGGGCTCAAGTTGCAGGGTGGATCGGGAAGACGTAACGAAAACCAGCAAATACTCGTCGTTTCGTCGTTCGAATCCATTGTTGCAGTTGCAGAGGACCTCGTAGGAGAGCTCCTGTAAATATAATAAGAGAGATTCATACAAGGCAAAGGCAAAGGCAAAGAGATGATAACGCGATCGAATCTGGCGGAGCAGTTGAGAGAGTATCAGATTCGATCGAAGCATGACTGGGCCTCCGTCTCCTTCTTCTCCTCCACCTCCTCCAATCATACTTTGTCAAGGTTTCAACCCACTCCCTTCCACTTTTCCACGATTTCTGTTTAATTTCTCCATTAATCTTTTATTTCTATAATCTTTGCTTTTTGATTATGCGATCTATATGCTGAACAATTTGGGAGAAGCATTAAATTTTGCTCTGCTTTAGATTTGATAATTGCTAATTATTTAAATTGAGGTTTTCAATCACAACTTTAGGCTTTAGCTTCGATTCGAGGCCTAATTCCTGTCGTTTGAGCTCGATTTAATCAATACTTCAATGGAGGAAGGGGTACAATGTCAGAATTCTAAATAAAAGGGAAAACAAAATGGTGATGAAAAGATATGCGTTGTTATGGTGATTTTTTCTTTAAATTTGGGAGTGGCTGGATTCCTATAGATGCTTAGGAGCTCAGATTGTCGATTCATCTCAGGGAGTGATGTAGGATAATAAGAAGAGATCCGGTTCCGGGCCTTCCGGCCTTCCGCCAGAGAGACTCAAAGACTATGAACATCCAGACGCATGTTTAAACTCCATTTATTTCTCAAGAAACTAGAAAGAATCTCAATTTATCACCGTACGAACTTGGCCTCTGCATCAGCGAGGAACTTTTACACAGATTGTTGTTATGCATTCTCTGTCCGAACATGGAAATGCATTCTAGTGAATAAACTTCCCATAAATAGCAGGTTTAAAGGAGAAGCAAGAGAGAATGAAAAATGAAATGATTTTCTCGATATGATTGAATAATGATTACAGAGAGGTTTAAATGGGTATGGACGTACAAGCGAACACTTGTCCCGCTCAGTTAACAATATCTAACTAGCTAATTGTATTGACTGAAACTAAACTATAACATTTAATCAACTAACTTCTAACAATCGTTGATTTTGCTGATCATCAGAAGATTCAGTTTGTGAAGGTGACGATGTGTCGTTAGGGTTATCTTGGATAGTGATTGCATTTAGGCGCATGCTGCTTTTATGTTGTCTTTGATTCTCTTGATGTTCTCTAGTCTTCTGCACATAATGAACTTGGTTAGAACTTACCCTTTTTTATAAATGTAGGAGTATTCTGGTTGTGCATATTTCTCATACCGATATGTCTGAGACGTTACTATTGATGCTAATTTCCTTTTTCCCAACTTATGGATGCAGGGTGGATGTAGTGCTCTTTGTAATATGGGAACTGGTAATCCTAGCTTTCTTGGTTTTTTCGGCAGTTTCTTTATATTTTAGGCATATGCGACTTGCTTTTGTCTTAGCATGTATTGCAATGCTCTTGCTTTTGTGCATAAAAGTTACAAAGCAAGTGAGATTGGCTAGGAAAAAGAAACGGAGGATGCTTCTTCCATTATCGATGTAATACTAGATGAGGGGCACGCACTACCCAACCTTATCATGTAAATCTTGAAAAGTCTTGGCCGTTGCATTTGGCCTGTATCCTCTTTTTTGGTGTATTGGGATGTGTAATCATTGCCTTCGAAGATTAGGTAAAAAACTGATGTGATTACTGTGGAAGATGCTCATCAGAGTGGCAAGTTGATCGATCAAGATACGAAGATTTGGTTAGTGAGGGGAGGAAAGGTTAGTTGACCATACGTTTTCTTCTGTTACTACCGAGAATATTTTGTTTTTACGAATGATATATTGATGATGTTTGCTTTACTTGTCAACAATACAATGACATAAGAAACCAATTTATGACATTGACATTTCAGATGCATTACCCAAAGTGTTATTTTAGTGTTTGGATATGCAGCATGAAGTACAATTATTTTAGATATCAGAACACTTGTTAAAATTGTTGCTTCCTTCTTTAAGATCGCCGTTGTGTATGTTCCTTTAAGGCTGTGGTTATAGGACCAGGACAAAGTGAAAGAGGCATCGGTTGATAGTTAAGGTCGAGAGCGGGAGGCTCCTTGGTGGTGGTGTTGCCTCGGTTACTTATTCAGAGGCTTGAAGAAGTGGACTTCTATTCCGATCGTGACTATGTTCCAAATTGCTCCGGTGATGATTAATATGCTTAGGACTATCCCCAAGGCTCCGAGTGCCCAGTTAAAAATTGTGCTACATTTACAAGGTTTCTTGATCAATATCCACATGAAACACGGATACGCCAAGGTGATTGGAACCGCAACTCCTCCGATGAGTCCTGCTAAGCTGGGCAAGAATGGCAGTGCAACAGATATAAAAAATGCAACGCAGCCGAAGAAAATCCTAATTCCGGAGCGTAGCCACCGCGGACAAGGTTTGTTCACGCTGCTAGTGAATCTGAATTCCAGATTGTCGAAAACCGGCATTGCATATATCTGAAAGGAGCTTAGACAGTTAACCACAACGAGCATGCTCGTCAATCCTAGGACAAATTTTGATGTGTCGTGTCCGTGGTATTTGTTCAAAGCATCTAACATCCCTCCACTTGAAGGTATCTGCCATAGATACAATCGCAATACATTTCTCTACGTAAGTACGACCTCCAATAATCCAAATAAATCCGGGCAGAAAAACATGCGCTAATTTCAATTTAGTCAAAAGATGTTTTGAATAGCAAGACAATGAACAAAGTGTCGTGTTCTTACGAAATTTCCGTAAGCCCAGTAGCCGCCAATTGCCAGGGGAAACAGACACAGTGCGATGATGAGATATGCGAACTTCACTCCCTTCCACATCGGCAAACGCGACGGCCTCTGACTGTTCGAGGGCATGGTTCCCTGCAAATATAACCATATGATGAATGTGATTATGTTTCAATTGAATAAAATATCTTCGACATGTCGACAACTATATCAATTATATTCACAGTTTCGACCATGTGTGCACGTAGAGAAACTTCATATGTATATACATTACCTTTTTAATTATTGACTCATTTGAAACTACTTTTCAACTGACTAAAAACACTATTAGAAAATGTTTTTTTATTTGAAAAGTATGTGAAGTGTTTCTATGTGTTTTTCTTAGTTTAAGTGTTTTTCTAGAATTTACTAACTTTTTAACTAAGGATTGGTTTCAAAATATTTTCATCAAAAATGTTTTCAGTCAGTTTAAAAGCATTTTCAAACAAGCTCCTAATTATATACCTGTATTTCAAGCACAAGGTTGTGGCCTCTAAAAGCAAAGATAGTGATCCCAAGCGCATTTAGGACGCCAAAAACGGTGGCTGCATCAGATTTTGTTTCCAGCGGCTTATAAGAAACACCATTGGGTCTATCTTTGGTGACAGAAACCACCCAAATGAGTGTGCAGTAGCTTACGGCGGTGATAGCTCCAATGAGGGAAATCCCAGCTATTGAGTTGAGGTTAGGAAGCTGAGCGAGAAGAATGGCAGTGCCGGTGAACACCAAGTACCACTCTATCGTTGACGGTGGACTTACATGGCGGCATGTCTCACCGCACACGATTTGGAAAAATATTTTCATGGTCCCACCTCCGATCATGATCAGGGTTACACACGTACCACCTGAGAGGTACATGATTGGAAACAATGCCAGAATTTTCCCTAGCTTCTCACCTGCAACGAATACATAAAAAAACAAAGATAACAAGGAAACGTTTTGCGATTAATATTAAGAGATAATTAGTTTACACACTCTAGCTTAATTACAGTTTTTGAACAATTATTGAACCACTATTTGATTGGTATCTTTTTTAGGACGTTGAAAGAACCCCTATTTCGTAGTAGCGAGTGTTCGATCAGTTAACATATCAATATATGTATGTGTGTATATGTATATATATTATGCATTGTTAATTACCAAAAGCTGCCATGGAAAGTCGAAGGTATCTGCTGTAGCGCACTCCCGATTCGGATTCGTGCAGTTGTATCAGTAACCAGAGAGTATAGAGCTGCCACATGAAAGCCACCGAGAGACATATAATTCCCCATGCCCTGCAATGCATGCACATATACACATGCAGTTAAATTAGTTAAGCAAATGAAGAACCAACAAATTAATTACATATTAAGGATCATTTTGGTCTATGCACATTAATAATACGTAAATAAATATCAGAATTTAGAGAGAGCCAATTAATTAATTAATTAATTAAACTTACCAGCCAAGAGTAGCGAAAGATAAAGGAAGAAGGAGGGCTGGAATGCCGATTCCGGAACTGAGCGTGTGAAAGGCGGAGTAGAGGGCATTTCCGTTTCTGGACTCGGTGATGGGCAGCCATGCGTCCTGAGGATCAAGCTTTGTCAAGTGTCCAACTTCTTCTAGGTAGCCTCGCATGCTTGTCATCGCCTTCTTCATCGGACTCGCCAAAGGAGTCGCCATAAAACGAGAAACGAACGGACTTTTAGGGGTCATGTTTGGATTACTCATTGGGCTCGACTTCACTTCCTCCACCTCATCCATCTGATCCTGCATGTTCTGATTCGGAGGGTTCCTCTTTACTGTATTTACCAAATATATATTTTGCTGAATATATATAGCTAGAGAACTGAGACGCCGACAAAAGTAAGTTTGATGCGGCTAGGGACTTGGGAGGTGGTTTCTGATCATTTGTTTTTGGAGAAAAAAGGTTGGGTGGGGCCATGGGATCAAGTGGATCATGATTCATGCATGAACTGAGACGATGATGAGTATATGATTTATTTCCCTTTTTAATGTGATCTTATAGTATTGTATAAATTTCTTATATATTTGAAATTATTTATCTTTTTATGTTGTACATATATTGAGCATCATTACTTGTGCCTCCTTACTTAGCCCATGATTTACCTAGGAGGGAAGGACCCTTAATCTATAAAAGGGATTCTTCACTCTCACTTTGGAGATGACAAACCCTAGCCCCTCTAGCAACAAGCCTCTATGTATAATATAACCCACATCTTACATAATGAAATCCGAACATACACAAATGTCAACGTAGCACCACTTGAGATGAACCACGATATATCTTTGTGTTTTTGTGTGTATGTGTAATTTACGGTCAGATTCAGTTGGTCCAAAATCGACCTAATTTTGTGCATCAACATTTTATTATCAAATATAGAGTTCATCTCATTAAAAAGTTTATTTGAAGTTTAGAAGAGAAGAAAGACTTTGAGTGAAATTAATGGGAAGGTAGGAGGGAAATGAATCCATAATTTACACGAGTGAAATTAAGCTTTTGTACCTGTGAGTGTTGTGAGTTATGAACTTATGACTTATGAGGATTGAGGACCAATTAAGGCAAAGGTGGGAAATATGTTTAATTCAAAGTTCAAACTGGAATCTTTTGACTGAGTTGGCTTGGCTGCTTTGCATGTTAACTGTACTTTTGTTGTAAAAAGACTTCGGACAGGAGAATGCAGTGGTCGTGGTTTACCAACACTTTTTCTTTTTGCTAGAGCCTTGTCCGTTTGCTATCATACCACAGCCACTTTGCCAATTGCCGAGTGCCACTATGCTGACCAAAAGGATCCGAGAGGATCATGAGGATATTCCGGAAAGGATATTCGTGAATCGTGTCTATTCATCGTACATCGTACGGTCAGTTTTTATCAAGTATTGTTTGTGTTTAATTTTAAATAAAAATATTTAAAATGATTTCTGATCGTACGATGTACGATGAACGTATACGATTCACAAGTCCTCGGGATCCTTACAAAGAGGATCTGGATTCCATGATCCATGGCAATTGTCTATTGGCAATTGGCATGGACATCGTCCATCACTCTCTGTAAACTTCATTAATCTTAAATTCTGTAGTGCTAACACTGCTCACTCACAAAGAAGCAAGCCTTGCAGAAAAGATGAATCAGTGTTATATATATATATATATATATATATATATATATATATGTATGTATGTATGTATATGTATATATATGTATGTATGTATATGTATATGCATTGCAACCTTGATGCAGCTAATAGCACGTAGGGACGCAGTGAAATAGTTAACTGAGCGAACCTTGAGATTGGATTCATCATTAGTCAAAAATTGCTTTTATTGGATGAATTTCTTCTACTTTTCTGTTTGTTGGGAATGCATATGGGAGTTATCAATCCTGTTCGTTAATTTACTATAAATTGTAATGAATTGGGTCCATATGCATTATGCATAATGGGAACTCCACTCTCCACACCACATAATATGACATAACTTTTATTCATTCTTCAAAGGCGACACTTCTTTTCAGCAGCAAATGACATATAGAGGCATGCATGCGTGCATATAACAGGGCCGGTTTGGCTATATATATCTGGTCATTCATTCCCTTGTGAAGTTTCTTTGAAGCCCTCCTCGTTTGCCTATCATTGGCTACCACTAGATGCTTAAAGGAAGCCTAAAGCGACTTCTCATCTTTATATTCTTACCCTCTTTAATTTTGGCTGTTGTTTTCATAGTCTTGTAAGTTTATCTTACATTGCCGGTCCCAAGTCCGGATAAAGGAGGAGAGGGAGGGCGTCAGGTAGTCGACAGCCGGCACTCCATAATTACGTCGAATCCTTATGAAAATGAATCCAGAACGAAATCGCGCTAAAGCTAGGGCGTCACCCGTAAGTGGCGCGTTGTGTGGCCCGAGCACAGTGATAAGTGAGCAAGGGTCGCTGTATCTCCATCGGCACCCGGATGCAGTGTTAAATGAGCAAGGGGGCTATAGAAACTTCTTTTCGAACGACTCCACTCAAAGTTGTTTGGGAGCATATGCTCCTATCAACTTTACACGGGACACACAAAAGAAGTACTTTGATCCTATTAGACGGGGAAGGGTGAAGAAGCTAGGACAGAAGGGTAGAGTTCAAGAGAGCAAAATGCGTTTATGAACGTGGAATATAGGAACCTTGACGGGAAAATCTATGGAAGTAGTAGAAGTTATGGTGAGGAGAAGGATAAATATTATGTGCCTACAAGAAACTAAGTGGGTTAGGCGTAAGGCAAAGGATCTAGAAAACTCAGGGTTTAAACTATGGTATTCGGGCACAAATAGAACGAGAAACGGTGTTGGCATCATCGTGGACAAGACCTTGACACAAGATGTTGTAGATGTTAAGAGGGTAGGAGATAGAATCATGGCAATCAAGATTGTAATAGGACAAGAACTTATCAATGTGATTAGTGCGTACGCACCTCAAGTAGGGTTGGATACGAGTTCGAAGGAGAAATTTTGGGAAGACCTTGGAGACTTGGTGCAAGGAATTGCTCAGACGGAGAAGTTATTTATAGGAGGAGATTTAAATGGACACGTGGGCAGGGAGACAGGCAACTATGGAGGTTTTCATGGTGGCCATGGTTTTGGGGAGAGAAACGAGGATGGGGAAGCTATCTTAGGATTTTGCAATGGCATATGATCTCTTCTTAGCCAACACCTTCTTTAAGAAGAGAGAAGAAACATGTGATCACCTACAAGAGTGGGTCGTCAAAAACACAAATAGATTTTTCTTCTAATGAGGAAAGGGGATCGTATAACTTGTAAGGATTGCAAAGTTATACCAGGAGAGAGCGTGGCTAATCAACATCGCTTGTTGGTGATGGATGTACATATCAAAAGAGTGAGAAAAAAGAACAAGACTTGGAAGTGCCCAAGGACTAGATGGTGGAATCTAAAAGAAGAAAAACAAGCCATTTTCAAAGAGAAAGTAATCACCCAATGTGTGTGGGATAGAGAGGGGGAAGCTAACCAAATGTGGGATTCCATGGCTAGTTGTATCCGAAAAGTAGCAAAAGAGGTATTAGGAGAGTCTAAGGGCTTTGCCCCACACCAAAAGGAATCTTGGTGGTGGAATGAGGAGGTACAAAGGTGAAGGCTAAGAAGGAATGTTGTAAAACCTTATACAAGGATAGAACCGATGAAAATGGTGAAAGGTATAGAAAAGCGGAGCAAGAGGCGAAGAAAGCTGTGAGAGAAGCTAAGTTAACGGCTTATGACGATATGTATAAGCGACTAGATACCAAAGAAGGAGAGTTGGATATCTATAAACTAGCTAGAGCAAGGGAAAAGAAGACAAGTGACCTAAACCAAGTGAGGTGCATCAAGGATGAGGATGGAAATGTTCTTGCTACAGAGAACGCGGTTAAAGACAGATGGAAAGGTTATTTTCATAATCTTTTGAATGAAGGACATGAAATGAGTGCTTCTTTAGGGGAGTTGAGTAACTCAGAAGAGTGTAGAAACTACTCTTTTTATCGTAGAATCCGGAAGGAAGAAGTGGTTGTAGCTTTGAAGAAGATGAAGCATATAAAAGCAGTAGGCCCAGACGATATACCAATCGAAGTGTGGAAAGTTTTGGGAGAGACAGGTATAACATGGCTCACTGACCTTTTCAATAGGATTTTGAAAACGAAGAAGATGCCAAATGAGTGGCGAACGAGCACTTTGGTGCCTATCTACAAGAATAAGGGCGATGTACAAAATTGCATGAACTATAGGGGTATTAAGCTAATGAGTCATACAATGAAGCTCTGGGAGAGAGTCATTGAGCATAGATTGAGGCAAGAGACACGGGTTTCGGACAACCAATTCGGGTTCATGCCAGGGCGCTCAACCATGGAGGCAATCTATCTCTTACGAAGATTGATGGAAAGATATAGAGATGGGAAAAAGGATTTACACATGGTCTTTATAGATTTGGAAAAAGCGTATGATAGGGTCCCAAGAGACATTCTTTGGAGGATTTTAGAGAAGAAAGGAGTACGAGTAGCATATATCCAAGCTATACAGGATATGTATGAAGGAGCAAAGACTGCCGTAAGAACTCATAAAGGACAAACCGAAAGCTTTCCCATAATTGTAGGATTACATCAAGGCTCATCCTTAAGTCCTTACCTTTTTGCGTTGGTAATGGATGAGTTAACAGGACATATTCAAGATGATATTCCTTGGTGTATGCTTTTCGCAGACGATATAGTGTTGATAGATGAAACTCAGGAATGGGTAAATGCAAAGCTTAACCTTTGGAAAGAAGTGTTGGAATCTAAAGGTCTTCGCCTAAGCCGATCAAAGACAGAATATATGGAGTGCAAGTTCAGTGCAAATTGAGGCCAAAAACGAGTTAGGGGTGAGGATCGGAGATCAAGAAATACCAAAGAGCGACCGTTTTCGTTACCTAGGATCTATCTTGCAAAAGAACGGAGAATTAGATGGAGATCTCAACCATAGAATACAAGCTGGATGGATGAAGTGGAAGAGTGCATCCGGCGTGTTGTGTGACCGCCGTATGCCACTGAAGCTCAAGGGAAAATTTTATAAGACGGCAATAAGGTCGGCGATGCTGTATGGCACATAATGTTGGGCGGTGAAGCATCAACACGTACACAAAATGGGTGTATCGGAGATGATGATGCTTCGTTGGATGTGTGGGCACACGAGAAAGGATAAGATTAGGAATGAGGATATCCGGGGTAAAGTAGGAGTAGCCGAAATTGAAGGAAAGATGAGAGAAAATCGGTTACGGTGGTTTGGACATGTGCAAAGAAGGCCTACTAACGCTCCGATTAGAAGATGCGACTATGAG